GTGTATAACCGTGATTGTTTTACACCAACGTGTGTATATCCCAAACCTTGGTATAACCAGCATGTGTATAAAACCCCAACGTGTGAAAACCACCAGCGTATGTATCTACCATGTGTATTTACACCAGCGTGTGTTTTCCCCAGCGTATTTTATCCCACCATTGTTTTATATACACCAGCTTTGGGGTTTACACCGCGATGTATAAAAAAACCCAGTGTTTTATCCCAACCCAAAATGTGTGTACACCAGGTGTGTAAAACCCACGTGGTGTTTAAAACCAGCATGTGTAATAAAACCAGTTTTGTGAAAACACCAGCGTGTGTATAAAACCCACGTGTGTATACACCAGTGTTTGTTTTACACCAACGTGTTAGACCCCAGCGTTTTGTATACACCAGCGGGTTGTTTTACACCAGCGTTTTGTAAAACCGCATGAGTATACCCAGCTTTAAGGAATACACCCAAGCGTTTTTTACCCCAAGCATGGGGTATACCCAGCGTCGTATCCCTCCAATGATTGTTTAAAACCAGCGAGTGTATACACCCCCGTATTTTTTAAAACCACGTTTGTAAAACCCCGCGATTGTATAGACCGCTTTGAAACCCCACCTTTTGTATACACCGCGTGGGGTATACACAGGCATGTGTATCCAAGCGTGGGGTATACCCAGAGGTGAAATTTACCGCTTTGGTTTACACCAGAATGTGTATTTTCCGAAATGTGTAAAACCAACCAGCGTTTTGTATTTTTCCAGCGTGTATATACTCCACCGATTGTAAACACCACTTTGTGCAAACACCAACGGGGGGGTATACCCCAAGGCAGGGTATCCCACCAGAGTTTTCATACCCCAAAAGTGTGTTTACACCAGCGTGTGTATACAAAAAACGTGTGAAACCCAACCAGTTGTTTTTATGCCCAGCCTGTGTTACCCCAAACGCCCTGTATAAAACCAGCGTGTGTATACACCAGCGATTGTAAACCCCCAGCATGTGTAAACACCAGCGGGGTGTAACACCGCGGTTTGTATACCCCAGCGGGGTGTATACCCCCAAGCGATTGTAAACACCAGAAATGTGTAAAACACCAGCGATTGAAAACACCAGATGTGTATACCCGCGGTTTTTACACCACCCTGTGTATGCCCCGGGCCCGCCCTGTATACACCAGGGGATTGTAAACACCAGCGTGTGTTTTACACCACGTGGGGTATACACCAAGGGGTTGTAGAAAACCAGCATTTTTATACACCAGCGTGTGTATCCCCAAAGCGATTTTTAAACCCCCACGTGTGTATACCCCAAATTTTGTTTACACCAGCGAAATGTATACCTTTGTGTTGCTCATCAGTGTTTTCACCCAGGGGGTTTATACACCAACATGTGTATAAAACCAGCGTGTGTTTTACACCAGGTGGTATACCCCAACTGTGGTATAAAACCCGCATGTGTACCAAAACCCGTGTGTATAAAACCAGCGTGTGAATCCCAAAAAGCATGTGAAACAAAACCAAAGGGGTTTATACCCCAAAAATGTGTAAAACCCCCAGCGGTGTATACCCACGTGTGTATACCCCAATGTGTGTTTTCCCCACGTGGTTACTCCAGTAATTGTATGGGACCAGCGGTGTTAAAAACCACCGAAATGTATACACCAGGGGGGATACCCCCACGTTTGGTATACCCCGTGTGTTTTACACCCCCGAAATGTTTTTACCCAGCGTGGTATTCCCCCAGCATGTGTATACACCTCGTTGTATACACCAGCGTTTTGTATACCCGGGCCCCAATTTGACACACAAGCGTTGTATACCCCCACCCGTGTGAAATGCCCCAAAGCGTGTGTTCCCCGCGGGGTGTTTTAAACCGCGTGAAAACCCCAGCGTGTGTATACCCCAGCGTAAAGGATACCCCTTTGTCTGTAAAACCCCACATGTGAGCACCCAGCGTATGTATACCCCCACTTTGGGTGTATCCTGCGTTTTGGGTTTAAAAGACACTTAACAAAAAACTAAAAACTTATTTTATTAGAAAACTTTTTCGGTCCGGGCCCCCCTTGCACTTCAAACCCATAAAAGGGGAGAAAGAAAAATTATTTTATATAGGGCCGGAGAGGGGAGGTGTGACGCACGTGACCTGGGGAAATTGCTAAAATTTTTAAGAAGGAGGAACAATTTTGAAGGGGCCCTACGGGCCCCAAATGCGGGGCCCAGGTCCTTATCAAAAAACCTCGGGCCTATGATGAGGACGGGAAAACAAATGAAATCTTGTAAATCCTGTGTTTTTGGGGTTTTGCGGCTGTTTAAAGTATCATGTATGCCAATTTTTTTTGAAATTTTGGGATTTTCCCAGTTTTGCGTTCTATAGTTGGCCCCCGGTGCCGGCTTTAGGGGAGGTTTTCTAGGCACCGTGGGCCCTCTAAAGGTCTGGTTGGGTGAGAACAAGTTGTGCCCCCTTTCCCGGGTTCATCAAATCCCCCGTGGGGGCCCCCTGTGGGGGAAACACGGGGCGTACCTTCATCGCCTGTTAGGGGCTTTTTCGTTGCTTTTTTCCAGGGGGACTCGAGATCTCTGCCTGTCTCGCCTACATATTTTTTGGGGGAAAAAGAACCCACGGGGGATAGT